TGACCCAACCAAAATGAGAATCCTTGAATCTACAGTTCCTCCCAAAGAAGCCACAGATAAACATGTTGTCACAATAGCAATGATGGTAGTAGTGGTGTAGCAGCCTTCATTTCCTGAGTACTTGCTATGTGCCAGGTACTTTGTTAACTATTTTGTGTAAGGTACTTGGCCATCCTTATAAAAACCTCTGTCATAGGTATTATCCCCAATTTAAGATAAGAGAGCATAGGTTTAATGAGGCTATAAATAACAAGGACATATAGCCAATAAATGGCAGAATCAGAGTTTGGTTCTAGATCTGACTCGACATCTGATGTTTTTGACCACCGTCTCCCAAATGCTAAACCCAAGATTGATTATAACTTGGTTTTGATTTTAGAGTAAAGAAATAAAAATGTTTGTAAAATATTTCCACTAAATACATTTATAAGAAGCTTCAATACACAGTACTGGATTAATAATACTTCTAAGTTGTTTTGCTTCTCTGTTATACTTATCCAACCAGAAGAGATGGTTAGCCAATTCTGAGCTTTCCAGAATTGATTTTACTCTTTCTGTGAAATGTTGCTAAGGGAAACGTATTCTAAAAGACAGCTGCAACAGAGGATGAATTTTGTTCACATAAATTTATGCAGGGTGCCTACAGAAGTGGTGAGGCCCCAGCTCCAACTTAGTCCTCTCAATCCCTAGAAGTAGCATATGAATTAGAAATACAAGGAAAGCTATACTGAAGGTGAGGGGAAATTTCAACTCAGCACTAAAAATCTATGCCAAACTTAAAAAAAGCAAACAGAAAGTAATTATTAAAATAAGTAATAATGGTATCCCTTTGATCAGAGGTGTAGGTAAAATAACTTTACATGATCACAAAGGAATTCATTTAACTATGTAGAGTTTTGTTATAAATTTAGCAAGAAGAGTTCTTGTGTTGCATTTACTTAGTTATCTTACAGTTATCTAATAGCCTACAAAGAAAAAGTCTTTCAGAACTTTTCTAGGAGATATACTGTGGCAAAACATTACTAATCTTGGCGTTCAAATATACAAATGCTATTACATTAATATGTTTCAAAAGATTTTGGTGGTGCAACCAGGTATTTGTAGAATTTCTGTGTTTCTCAGTAAGATACTCTGTTTTACAGGAGAGCATGGAAACTTAGAAAAATAAGGGGTACATCAGGGAAATGTAAATGGGGTAAGGTGTTCATACTTAAGACAGACTGAACACCAAGAGTAATAGAAGTTTTAAGAACTATGCTTAGTTGACAGAATTTACTCAGAGATAACAAATGATTTAGATGCTTTGTTGTTGTTGGTAGTTGCCATTGAGTCAATATGGACTCATGATAACCCTGTATGTTCAGAGTAGAACTGTGCCATAGAGTTTTCAATGCTGTGACCTTTCAGAAGCAGATTGCCAGGGCTTTCTCTCAAGGTACCTCAGGGTAGGTTTGAATCTTTTGGCTAGTAGTTGAGCAATTTGTATCACTCAGGAACTTTGATTTAGATGCTGCTGCTGTTGTTGTTGTTGTTATGTGCCGTTGAGTCGGACTCAACTCATAGCGACCCCTTCTTGGGTTTACAAGTTGGGAGCTCTGGTAGCATAATGCCTAAGGCACTTGATTGCTAACCAGAAGGCTGGTGATTCAAACCCACCAGCCACTCCTTGGAAGGAAGGTTGGGCAATCTACTTCCGTAGTGATAACGCCTCAGAAACCCCAGGAGGGGCTGCTATGAGTCGGGGCCGACTCAACGGCACATAACAACAACAACAACAACAACATCACTATGGAAGTAGATTGCCCAACCTTCCTTCCAGATTTAGATGCTAGAATATATTATTTTAAAATAAACTTTTATTGGGTCAGGAAGCATGACAATTGTTGACAGGTGTAATATTTAATTCCCAACAACTCCAAAAGCTAGGTATTATTAACTCTATTTACAAATTTAGAAACTGAGGCCCAAAGAAGTTGAGACAACTTGTTCAAGATTATAACCACAGAAGAAAGTGTAGGAGTTAAGATTCAAATCTAAATGTCTTTTGAGTCCAAAGCCCATGCTCTTCCTACTACACCAAGCAAGTTTTTCATTAATTTCTTTGCTTGCCAATTATTGGACCAAACTCACTGTTGCCAAGTTGATTTCAACTCATAGTGATCCTATAGGACAGAGTGGAACTCCCATAGGGTTTCCAAGATTTACTTCTGTAAATCTTACATAAGTAGACAGCCACATCTTTATCCATGGAGTGGTTGGTGGGTTCAAACTGTTGAGCTTTTGGTTAGCAGTTGAGCACTTTAACCACTTCATCACCAGGGCTCCTTCAATTATTGGAAGAGCTGCTAATAACTTGGGGGGGCAAAACCTAACTCACTGCCATTGAGTCAATTCCGACTCTTAGCGACCACCATTGGGTTTCTGTGGTATAGTAAATTACTTTGTGTGGCTTTTCTACCCATAAGTCTTTGTAAACTCCAAGGTGGGATTTGCTATGAGCAACTGAGGAGCTCCTGATTGCTGAAGGTGTCCACCTGGAGTATTTCTGTTGGGAGTGGCACAAAACAATGTTCTGGGAGGTGCCCACTCTCTCAGGTGCTTAGAGT